GGCATCTGTTTCTAATGTAATTAGCCGTGTTAACAGCCTCGGCCCAAAAAGTTGGTGGAAGATTTGACTGTATCATCAGGCATCTGGCGGTATTTAATAAAGTTCTATTTTTTCTTTCAGATATGCCATTTTGTTCTGGACAATACGGTACAGTTAATCTTCTGAGAATTCCCTTTTTATTTAAGAAGTCATTAAATTCATTACAAGTATACTCCTTTCCGTTATCTGACTGTAAACATTTAACTTGTTTTCCTTTCTGCCTTTCTATCATAGCGATGTAGTCCTTTGTCGCTTGAAATACCTCGCTTTTTGACTTCAAAAATTTTATTTCACACCATTTACTGCAATCGTCAATAAATTCAACGAAGTATTTAGCTTTGCCTATTGATTCTATACGCATAGGACCACATACATCTGAGTGGATAATATCCAAAACTTCACTTTTTCTCTCAGATTTCTGCGGGAATGGCTTCCTTGCCATTTTTCCGTGAAGACAGATTTCACATTGGTATTCAATATTAAAATTTCGTATATTGAGGCCATGTATTATTCCTTTCTTTACAGCCTCCGCCATATATTTAACATTTAAATGTCCAAGGCGTCGGTGCCAAAGATCAAATAGTTCATCATTATTGCTAAAATATGCAGAGTCATTTAAAATAGTCTCTCTAATAAAATATAAATCACCAACTCTGTCCGCAATTAATTTGATGTGACCATCGACTCCTATAACTACGGCACTGTCTTTCTTAAAGATAACTTCACAGTCTTTATTAGTCATCTTACTAACGGATAACAAGTTAGTGCGTAATTCTGGAACATATAACGCATCTTGTAGAGAATACTTTTTCATATTACCGAGTACTTCCGTAGTAAGTGACACAGTACCCTTTGCACTAATTTCCGCAGAGCTTTTATTTGCAAAATTTAAAATACCACCTTCAAATTCATTAATTTTCGTAAATTTATCTAGTCTATTACACAGATGTGACGTAGCGCCACTATCCAAACACCATCTAAATGTCTTTTTCTCTTTATGTTCTGCTTGAAAAGCGCACAGATCTTCTTCTTCTTCTTCCTCTTCTTCTGTCATTTTCACAGAATTTTTCTTAGTCTTACAATCTGTAGCTTTATGTCCAAATCTCCGACATTTATGGCAACGAAACTTAAACGAGCTTCGATATGTATTGCTAGGTCCCGGTTCATCATCTTGCCTTTTAGAGCTGAATGATTTTTGATGGGAGTGCTTTCCAATCAAAGCATCTTGGATAGGGCTCACTTTATTTTGTCTTGCCTCACTTTCTTCGATAATTTTCACACGAAGAGTTTCTGGTGACGGTAAGCTATCTCTGGTTTCTATCGCACATCTAAAGTTTTCGTAAGTGCTGGGTAAACTGTATAACAACATAATCGTTAGTAAATCAGGATTTATTTCTATTTCCATTTCCCCTAACTTATCCACGGTATCGAAAAACTTATTAATATGTTCACGCACGTCTTCCCCTTCATGCATGCGTTGTAGAGTTAGTTGTTTCAGCAACGTAGCCTTTCTTGCCGGCCCTTTCGATGCATAGATGCTTTCCAGTTTCAACCAAATTTCACGTGAACTGGTACAGCCTTTGACGAGCTTTAATTCCGAAGGACTGATGGATAGGATGATGTCAGACTTTGCTTTACTATCGTTCCTGATCCAATTGTCTACCGCTCTCTTTGATTCTGCATCGTTTGCTACTAACACTGGTTTTTGACATTCACTATTTACATACACCCAAGCATCATTTTTAATGAGCAATGCTTCCATTTGCATCTTCCAGGTGTCATAGTTCTCTTTATTAAGAGTTTCAATTCTGAACGAGCTGCTTCCATTCATTTTATTCTACGCTTCACGCCACTTCATTCAGTACCACAGATGAACCGTAGCTGGGCTCATAACCTGTTAGAAACAGCTGGAGTTGCTAGAAGTCTGGGACTGAGTAAAGATGGACTACGTATAGGATATAACTATATATTACTATGAAATGAACATGCAACTATAATGATTACAATATCAAGAATTACACAATTGACATTCTGTACTTCGTACTGACGTTTATCTCATTAAGTCTTATATAGGGTGATTCATTCAATTCCTAACATATATCTAAAATAAATTTTTTGGATGTCACATAACCTAGTGTGTAAAGTTCTAATATACTCTATGGTGGATGTCATATAGTCGGGTGAGTAAGTTTTAATATACTGAATGTTGGATGTCAGAGAGTCGAGTGAGTAAATTCTAATATACTTAATGGTGGATGCCAGACAGTCGAGGGACTGAAATATTTAATATACAAAATATACAAAACCAACTGACGCGAGCGCCACCTTCGCATCTATACACTGGAACTAAATATATACATAAAATTGAAAATTAAGCATTATGACATCCAGCTGAAATTTTTTTGGCTCCCTTTTAAACCTCCTTTATGATGTTTGAACCCCAAAAACGTTGTGACATCCGAATTTGGATGTCACATCGCAGACGGATATTAGAAAGATAGCAACATTTTTGCGACATGATGTCACAAAGTCGGCAGGACGAATCTATATATATATATATATATATATATATATATATATATATATATATATATATATATATATATATATATATATATATACAGGGTGTTAAAAAAAAGTGTCACAAAATGAAATGGTGAATAGTATGACCCAAAATCAGCAGAAAAGTCTTAATAAATATATGACCGCAAATTAACGGTTTCGGAGATACGGACCATTTTGTGTTTATAACAATTTTTTATTATTATAAAAAAACAATGATATTTATAAACAATCAATAACAACATAGAGTTAAATGAGATGTTCAAATACTGACGTAGCGCTTCCCTCGCATTGCCATTTGCACGACCGTACATAAAATGCATGTCAGCTAATTCAATATTAGTGTAAAGAGGCATAACGAAAATTTATAAAATTATTCACCCACAACAAAATAATAACTGCAAATAGTATCTATGAAAAAAGATAATCAAAAAATGATACAAAACACAAAACACTCCGTACCTCTGAAACCATTCATTTGCGGACATATGTTTATTAAGACTTTTCTGCATATTTTGGCCCATACTACCCCTCGTTTTATTTTGTGACACTTTTTTTTTAACACCCTGTATATATATTTTTATTTTTGATTATATTTTGAATGTGTCGAATTTTGTTAGTCAATCAAGTAATTTAGTCAAATTATGTAAACTACCTGACCTCTTTGTCATGATCATAATATATTGTGTGTTTAAATTAATTTTTTCACTAAGATTAGATTTCAGAATTTAAAATGAGGACATAATTTTTATCTCTACATATTTGATTATACCAGTACAAGAAATTATTGTTTTGTAATACAGATTCAGCATAAGTTTTTTCTTAAGGAGGTTCTTTCGCCACCAATGTTAAATAAAAAATATTAGATTATTACTAAAATTAATTTTTTTCTAATAGTAGAAGTCCTTATTTATCTAATAGTTTTAACTATACCTTACCGTGCAAATTTTTGAGATTTTTTTTTAAAAATGTGTGTTTGTACAGTGTCTTACGAGAAAGTAAGACTTCAACAACAATTTTCGAATTATAATTAATTTTACTATTATTTATTGATTAGATGGAGTAGAAAAAACTAAAAATAAGGTTTTTGAAATATTTAGGTTTTGTTTTTTACAATAAAATATATAGGTTACCGTAGAATTTATTGAGAAATTAATATTTAAAAATCACAAAAAAATTTCAACTAGGTTACTTCAAATTTTTTTTTAATATTAATTTCTCAATAAATTCCAAGGTAGCCTATATATTTTATTGTAAAAAACAAAACCTTAATATTTCAAAAGCCCTATTTTTAGTTTTTTTCTACTCCATCTAATCAATAAATAATAATATAATTCGAGAATTGTTGTTGAGGTCTTATTTTCTCGTAAGACACTGTACAAATACATTAAAAAAAAAAAACATTCTCAAAAATTTGCTCGGTAAGGTATAGTTAAAAGTTCAACATTAGATAAATAAGGACTTCAACTATTAGAAAAAAAATTAATTTTAGTCATATAATATTTTTTATTTAACATTGGTGGCGAAAGGACCTCCTTAAGTATTACCGATTAACAGGAGGAACTGCTAAAGCTTTATAAAAAGCGGACACGTGAATGGGATCGGTCGGCTTCATGGGATTGCCAACGCCTTCTGCTTTCTTTCTCTTATTCTCGCTTCATTGGAAAAGTCTTCTTTATGTTGCTCGTTATAGTTTTTTACTATACCCAATGGCGAAAAACTACTAGACTAATCCATTCATGCGTAATTAAGCCCTCATTTATTGCAATCACTCTGATTGTATTTCATATTACACAGATAGCTCTCGCATTAGAAAGAACGAGACGGCTGCTAATTTAAGTAGGGATGGTTTGTGCGAGTTTGTTTATCTGAGGAGCGAGCATGCGTTTTATGAATAAATCAGTACTTACATTCTATGATGCTTGCTTTACACTGCTGTCACACTTCAAAATTAATTGTGTACTTTCCTGAAAATTACCTTTAACTACGATAGTTGCAATGGGAAAAATACATTAAACTGATAAGAACTGGCATTAAGACAGCAATTCTTGTAACAAGACTACTCCCATACTCCCTCATTATAATTTAATAAATATTTAAATAACATAATGAATGTAAGCAATGCGATTTTTGTAAACAAAATTTAAGCTGAATCTGTATAATAAACCTATATACTCAGAAAGTGATAGTCTTTATATACTGTTTCTGCATGGCTTTAAACTATCCCCAAACGAAAGGCAATATTTAAATTTTTGTGAGTGGATTTTTGGTGTAAAGCCATACTGAAAGTTTTATAAAGATTAACATTTTCTGAGAACGTTATAACAAACACATTTACTGTATAATAAAGTTTTTATTATTCGATTTGTCTTGTAATAATAATTGAAATACCATTTTAGCTAAAAAAAAAATATCCAAGTTGGTAAAAAGACTGCAGACAATCGCAGAAAACATTGAAATAATTGAAGAAGAGGCCGAAATAATACAACCACCGCTGGAGCATAGAGGTCTACAAAAATCAGCAAGCCTCCCAGTCATAATCGAAAATGAAGAGAATATCGACACCAAAAATGAAAGTTGCGAGAACTTGAATAGCTCCACTCCAGACATATCCATCAAATTTGAAACTAAAAAACTTAAAAAAAGGAGTACAAAGTCTTCAAGAGCCAATCCTGAAGATATTTTGAGAAAATCTGTAAAAGAATGGCTCACTCTGGATTCGTTGATCTTCTTACACGGTAAAGACAAAATCAAGGAGATTCTAAGCGCCAAAAAATTAGGTGATTATTTCGAAGAGTTAAACATTGCTAAGCTGCAGAGGGACCAACAAATCAAATACATGGATATCTGCAAGAGGCTACATTTACAAGAAATGGCAGATGAAAAGTTTGACAGTGCCGTACTTGGGACTGGTCTGAAGCCGTTACCTGATTACAGCAAGCTGAAACAGGACAACAAGGAACTGAATCTCAAAGTGAAGTGCTTCTATAGTGGAGTGTTGCACGAGAAGGAGGACAGCAATTTTCCCACGAAAGTGAATAAGAGTGACGGGTCGAAAAATAAAGATTCAGAGGAAGTACCTGTTGTGCTTCCAATGGTTGACGGTAATTCACAGAAAGAATTGAGGAGGAAGATCTTTTTAACCGCCATTGAAAAATCGTAAGTATTAAAAATGGAAGCTGAAAAAAGAACAATTTTTTACGAAAACGAGGCAAAATTTTTTATTTAATCGAATATTCCACACTTGGAATTCTCTACCGGAGAATGTTGTAAATGCTCCATCTGTCAATGTTTTCAAGAACGAACTTGATAATTTTCTATTTTTTAATTAACATTTCATTTGTTTCATTGTTTATTCATCGGTTGTACCTGTTATTGATTTAGTTTTTAGTAATATTGTTTTATATTCAGTTAATATGGGCTTATGGGTCTTATGGCCCCTGCTCTTATCAAATAATAATAATAATAATCTGCATTTTTTTTTAGTCCAATCATTATGTATTTTAAATGGTTTTAGGATGAATCAATTGCTGCAAATCCTAAAAATCAACTTCTTCGCTGCAGTTATCTGTGACCTGCGAAGATTGGTTAAAACCTTTAACCTGAACGCTGATAATATAGTTTTCAATGCTTATCATAGGCATTTAATAAGCATTGTTCTGCTTAAGATGTAAGTTTTCTCTGTTAGTTCTAATTTAGAACATTTTAATTCTAATACATTTTTCCGTTTTAGATTAGCTGTTAGAGATTCGAATGTGAAAAACATATTAGAAGAAAAGTTTTCAGAGGAATACGTTACCCTTCAATTTTCCGTGTTGCCGAATAGAGACGGAATCATTAGTGAGATAATAAAAGAAGTTTGTGATGTTGAAGTGTTCATTGAAAATTATATTTTATCGAATTAATGCGATTATAAGTGACTTATAATAAATAGTAATAAGATTAATTTATTTTTTTGAATGTCCCGAACCACATTATTAATTTGTTGTATAGAATAAGTAAGAGTAAGAAAATCTATTTTAAATTCAAGAAAAAAGCCATACAGATCATTGCAGATTTCATGGCCTCGGTTATGTTTGCAATTTAAGCGTATCACGCACATGCGCAGTTGCTGTAGTGTTTCGACAGAAGTGTCACTTATGTCAACTCATCTTGGCTTTTTCGTGAATTTTAGTGAATTTAAAAGAATTTTAGACGTTTTTACTATAGACAATTAATAAAATGGGAAAGACGTGCTTTGTTTTTGGTTGTTTAAACAATGAGGATTCAGAAAACATTGCATTTCACAAATAAGACATATTTTCTACCAGAACAGTATTTTTTATTTAAAACATTTTTTAGACTACATTTTCCAGAAAACGAAATATCGTAGTAAAATAAATAAACTGTATGTAGGTATCTAACGTTGATATACAGGGTGAGACCATATATTTGTATTTGAAAAAAAAAGTACTGTGGAATTGTTTTGATATTTTGGTCAAAGGAAGCTAATACATATATATTTACATTTAAATTGTTATTTATTTATTTAAATTGTTATTTATTTATTTAAATTGTTATTTATTTATTTAAACTGTTATTATAAGTTAATTCCAATAGACGTTTTATGTACAGAGGGTTTCATTATTTTGACATTATTATTCTTTCTAGTTAATTTTTTGATCAGCCTACTGAAATACCCATGTTAAAATCAACTATTTGCTATCTGTATATGCCTATTGTTATAAAGGGCCGTTGAGGACACTAAAAATGCCGGTGTTATTAACAATATATTAAATACTTTAATCACTACAGATCAAATTCAACTACCGAAAATCGCCAAAAAATATATCTAGCAATTTATGTTCCTTTGTCCAGTAGCGCTTGTCAGCGTTAAGTGATTCTCTTTTGCCATAGGCGTCATAGTCGTTCTTTACAGTCGGCCACGCTTGCTTCATCCACGTCCTGGTGGACCAGCAACGTTTACTGTCCTAGGAAATAAATTCTTATTAGTCGCTTCTTGTAGAAACAAGTTTAGAATATCACATAAATTTTAGTTAAAAAGAGTTAGTAGTGGCGGAATTCTGAATCTAAACAGGAAACCTAAATATGAAATATTTATAAACATTATTTTAAACTTAACATGCATTATTAGTCAGTGTCCGTATTAATTGTTAGAATCAATAAATTATAATTAATATCTGTACGCAGAATTTAACTCGAGAAACCCAAAGAGAGCACCTTTCACGAATTCGTTCCGTTTGAACACGTCAACTTTATGACTCTTTAGATAGCATGTCTCTTAAGTTCGTTTAAACTCGTCAACTTTTTGACCTGTAAGAGAGAATCTCTTATAAGTTCGTTTCGTTTGAACTCGCTGCTGTTAAACCTGTACTTTAGGTGCATTTGACCGCGGTCGCAGAACCCTTCTCGTAGAGTTCTTCTAGTTATCGTCTTAGTGAATCTTTTCTTTAGGATCAGAATTCACTTCGGATTCTGATGAGCCCATACTTACGTTAAAGGGCTTCAACTTATCCAAAAAAGTTACTCCCTCATATTTGTTTGTAATTTTTTATGATTCTTTATAATATACCGATCATGATCTAAAACCTTTTTCACAATAAATGGACCAGTATACTTCGGAAGTAATTTCCGACTGTTGCCTCGATTATTTCTTAGTATCTGTAACGTGTGGAGGGTGGGTTACCCCCACGGCACTTAGGCCTCATTAGGCCCATTGTGCATCCTCCTAAGATGATAGGCACATCCTAGCTCGTGAGCCAGCCTACAGATTTTCTTAGTGAACTCCGAACTGAAACTTGGTCACCTTCCTTGTATTTGTTTCCTTTATGTCGTCGTTTGTCAAACGTTTGCTTTTGTTTGATCTGTTTGCTCTTAAGTTTCAGTCGTTCGTTTGACCTATGCTCTTAATTTTTGCAGATCTGCGTTGTCTGTACCTGGTAGGAAAACTTCATTCACCAGAAGTGAATCTGCTAAACCTCTTGGTTTGTAACCGAACATAACTTCGTAAGGGGTTTTGCCAGTCGTCGAGTTTGTTGTCGAATTTAGTCCCCATTTGACTTTTTCAACAAACAAGTCCCATGTTGTTTCATCGTCGGTACAAGCTGACAATGAGGCAATGATTGTTCGGTTATATCTTTCCACTTGACCGTTAGCTCTTGGAGTTGTAGTGGAATTGAAAACATGTTTAATATTTTAGAGACGTGCAATACTCCTTGAACTGCTGGCAAGTATAACATGAACCTCGATCTGTGACTAGTCGTTTTGGTACTCTAAAAGTTTCAACAATTGATTTCAGAAAGGTCAATAATGGTCCTACTTTAGTCGACTGAACGGCTTTCATGAATACGAACTTTGTGAACGCTTCCACAACAACTATGAAATCGGAATTTTTGCGTTTGGATTTCACAAAGGGTCCTAGGTGGTCAATGTGCAAGGTATCAAATGGTATTGCAATCTTCTCAATAGGGTATAAGAAACCGGGTTTCCTACCACCAGGTTCTTTATTATATAAGCACTCCAAACAAGAAGATATATATTTCTTGACATATCTTCTCATGCCTGCAAACCAATACAACTGGGATATTGCTGAGATGGTCTTTTCCACAGACATGTCCAATACCATCATGATAATATGAAGGACCACTTGCCTACGAGTCTGTTTTGGTACTACCCACTTCTTGCCATCAGGTGTGATTCGATATAATCGGTTGTTAGTAATGCAATAATCATTATGCATTTCCTTTTCGTCTTTATCAGAAGGAGGCCTTGAAAGAACATCTAAAATATTTTTACATTTTTCGTCTTGTAATTTGGCATGCAAGATCCAATCTTGTTAATGTGTTTACTGTGTGTATGTGCACTGCATTTGTGTCTGGAATGGGATTTCGGCTTAGTGTATCTGCATGTCCAATTTTAGTTCCTGGGCGATATTCCACATCAGAAGTGAACTCTTGAATTGCTAACCACCATCGTCCAATCCTTGGAATCATATCTCTTTTAGTCATTGTCGTTCGTACAATCTGTTATAACTTTAAAACGTATTCCAATCAAGTAAACCCGGAATTCCTTGAGCGAATCCACAACAGCCAAAATCTCCAATTCATAAGAATGATATTTTTGTTTTTTAGAAGTTTGACATGAAAAATACAAGACTGGCCTGACACTCCCATTTCGTTGCTTCTGCGATTTCTCCATTGCCCCATTTTGACGCATCAGTGTGTACTTCTGTTTCTAACTCAGGATCGTATACTGCAAGAACTGGCCTCGAAACTAATTTTGCTTGAGGAGTTTCGAAAGATATACGCGTTGTTCGTCACCCCAAGCAATACCTTTTTAGTGAGATGAGTCAAAGGTCGTGCGATGGTAGCAAAATCCTTTATGTACTTTCTAAAGTAACTAGCTAACCCTAGAAATTGGCGAATCGTGTGAACATCAACCGGTTCTGGAAATTTTTCTACCGCTTTGGTCTTTCGAACACCAGGTTGTATTCCTTCGCCACTAATTTCATGAACTAAGTAATCAACTTTTTCCATGAAAAATTGGCACTTAGATAGGCGTAGTGTTAATCCAGCATTTTTTAAGGATGTAAGTACGCTTCGTAGGTTTTCATCAAAATTTTTGTACGGCAGCAACACGTCATCCATATACGCAAGAGCCTGAGATTTCCAAGCACTTTATTATTAGTCCTCTGAAAAACTGCAGGTGCATTAGCTAGCACAAATGGCATCCGAAGATATTCCTAATGACCGTCCGGCGTAATGAAAGCGGTTGTTTAGTATCGATGTCTCTTCCATAGGTATTTGGTGATAACCGATTGCTAGATCCAAACTTGTGAAATATTTACAATCCTTTAATTTTTCCAGAAAATCGTCTACGCGTGGAAGTGGATATCTGTCCTTTACCGTTTTCGTATTTAAGGCGCGATAATCTACACACAATCTCTGCTAACCGGTTTTCTTTTTCACTAACAGAATGGGAGTGGCGTAAGAGGAATTTGATTCCCTAATTATTCCGGTTCTCCTGTAGGTCACCGACGATTTCTTGTACAACTTTCCGTTCATTGTACGACAAACGATAGGGTCGATATACAACAGGTCGATCATCAGTTAGGTGAATTTGCATTTTTAAAATATCAGTTTTATCTAATTCAGAGAAGAAAATTATTCAAGTAAAAATTGCTTGTAATATTATTCTCTAATTTTTGCCCTATACAAAATTTTCCTAAAATGGTCCTTATTCAAGAAAATTGACAAACGTTTTAATCCATCCTGCGGTGAACTGATTAAATTTTGGGCATTGTCGGAACAACTATAAGGGAGGTAGGTACTTTATGGAAGGTCGTTTTCCTACTTTATGGATATTATCTGTTAAGCTTGGAGAATAAAATTCTTCAAATAAAAGTTTCTTATAATGTTATTCTCTATAATTTTTCTAAAATGGTCCCTGTTCGAGAAATTTGACAAAAAGTGCAAAATTCTAATTTTTAAGAAAACATCTGGGGGTACTTTATAGGGTGTCATTTTTATATTTTATAGAATATATGTTATTCTTTAAATAAAAGTTACTTATAATATTATTCTCTATAAGTTTCCTAAAATTGTCCGTATTCAAGAAATTTGACAAAATGTAAAAAAAAATAATTTTTATGAAAATTGTTAAAATAAAAGTTGTTTGTGATATAATTCTCTATAATTCTTGCTTCCTACAAAATTTTCCAGAAATGGTCCGTATTCGAGAAATTTGACAAAATGTGCAAAATTCTGATTTTTAAGAAAAAACTCAAACTTGTTTGCGATATCGATCTCTATAATTTTTGTTTTTTACATGATTCTAAAATGGACCGTAAAAATTTGAGTGTAAAATTTAATTTTTTTGATTTTTTCGTTTTCGATGAATATACACTATTGGACACAAGTGAAGCAACTTTTATGATAAAATCAAATATTTAATTATTTAAAATAACACGATCAACCGTGAGAATCAAAATTTATGTAGTTTAAGTGGTCATAATAGGCTGCTATGATAGGTGAAATCTGATTGTTTGCAAATGTCAAATAAGTTAGTATGTAATAATTTATTTCAACAATACCCTTTATTATCGCGACAAAAGTAAAACAACTTTTATGAAAAAATTTTGTATTTCATTTAACAACTGAAAAATCACAAATATGGTTGAAGGGTTAAAACAAAATAAGAACAAATTCTTAATAATTAATAGGATATCCATTATTAGATATAACTTTTTGGCAACGGCGCGGCATTGATGAAATGAAGTTTTGGATAGTAATATCCGGCATATTAATCCAAACTTCATTAATTTTATCAATTAAAGACTGTTTGTTTGGGAATCTTGTAGTCCGAATACGACGTTCAACCTCTTCCCAAAGGTTCTCAATGGGGTTGAGGTCTGGTGATTGGGCCGGCCACCTAAGAACCTGGACATTGTTCTCCTGAAACCATTCCTGAACAAGGCGAGACGAATGTTTCGGATCGTTGTCCTGTTGGAATATATAAATTAAATTATTTTTAATTTCCATGGTTGCTCATTTTATTTTAAATAATTAAATATTTTATTTTACTATAAAAGTTGCTTCACTTTTGTCCAATAGTGTATATAGAAAAATGTTTCGAGTTAGATGTATGTGGAAAATGTATATAGTTTATCATCTAAACACTTACAGAGGCGCTGCAGTAGGTTGTACAAAATAACTAGATAGGAAAGTCATGTGTTGGACATATCAGATTTTTTTTAGAAATAATCACGATGTGTATTCGAAAATTACAGGTCTAAATTCTATTATGAATTTACTGTACTGGCGCGTAAAATATGTTTGATATACTGCAATGTTATATAAAGTGACCATATTTTGAAAAGTAGAAAGTGGGTCAAATCTAAAACATGGACGAATTATATTTGCTGTTCATTGAAGAGCAAAAAAAAACGGAAATCTTTAACGGAGTGTTTTGTTATAAAAAAAATTGTTGTTAGGCGGCTTAAATGAAATATATATATATATATAATTTTTCGTCGGACAAAAGGACTATTGCTTTAAAACCGGGACGGATGGTCACTTTAATGTTATACCATGGTAACCAACCTGTTTATAATTGTTAAGGTAGCCATAACTAAAGCCAATCAACAAAATCAAGCCACATAGTGAGGTGATATTTGACACACAGGTGCGTATCGAAATGCACTAAAAGGGAACCTCAGAATTAAATTTAACACTTATTACATTCAACTACAACACCTTTTAATTTAAGAAAATCACTTAAAAATTATTTTTAATACGTGGCTGTTCCAATAATAATAAATATTAAAATACCACGTTATTAATACAAAATAATATAACTGATCGTAGTATGCCCGTGGGAAACGTGACGTAGAATGCTTGAAATTGACAAGACTGGCGTCAAAATTGTCATATGCACTGACCGTTTTTTCACCCATGTCGGCTTAGAAGTTGAGTAAGGTTTATGGCATATAATCATCCAGTTTAATATGAAGGTCGGTGGCCACAACGGGCTAGCCCGGTAAAACTTTTAACAACAGTTATGACTGAACTGTCATTATTTAGGAATACAATTTTATTTGATTTTAGGTTGTAAAAGTAGAGAGGTCAGTAAACAATTTTATTTACAACCATATATGTAATGTTTGTCATTACTAACGTCATTGAAGGTTGGAAAGTGTCACATTACACACCTCTACTTCCCGCCTTAATTTCATCTATTCTAGATGAATATTTTTTATATTTAAAAAAATAACACATTTTTTTGACAAATTTTATAATACCTATTTAATGGCAAACAATAAAAAACAACAATGAACTAAAATACAACAAACTACTTATTGATATTTATTATTCGCGAATTTAATATCCGGCTTTATCTGACATTTATTTATATTGGTGACAGTTGTTTACCCCGTAATCACAGTAACAATATATTTACTTGATTATTCTGAGAAAACCGCGCGCTTGGTAATTTGTCGTTAAATATAATATTTTAGGTATGTTCAGAACGAAACAGAGATTTATTAACTTTGATCGAAATATGATGGTTGTAAATAAAATAGTATACAAACCTCGGTAGGAAGTTTCATTCCTGTCTCGAGAGCATAGCTAACCTCGACGCTTCGCGTCTCGGTCATCTCACAACAGGAATGAAACTCTTCCCACCTCGGTGTGTAATATACTATTTTTGTCGCCTTGATATCGCATGAAAGATTCTAATTAGAGAGAAATAGATTAATATATCTATATTTATTTTTCCAGTTATTTTTAGACATTTTTTAAGTTTTTACTTAAATTCGTTCAAGTATGGTGGTGTTAAAAGTGACTTTGATTTGTAGGGTTTATTTTATACTAGGAAAAGACTTGTGTTTTATGTGATTTTAAATATAAAAGAGGAAGTGAAAAAAGGAAAATAAAATATGCATATTAAAAAAAATAAAATTATTATTAATGTTCTAAAATACGAATTAGAAGAAACTTATGGTTAGAGGCACTGGACTGAAATGTTAGAAGTTGAACGAATATATTATATTTGTTCAATGCACTTTTTAGAGGTCGGCTTTGCTGCAACAAATATATTATAAGTTTGTACGTTTCTAAATAATATCGAGCACTTTTAAAAATTGTATCTTTACTTTTTAGGAACTTTGTATTACATAAACAAAATAAGAAAAAAAGAGTAGTGGTGAACCTATATCACCTAAAAAAAATAGAAGGTATTGTGTTTAATAAATTTGGTGAACAAATAATATGTTTGAATGTTTTTAGTATAGTAATTTCTTCAGATACTAAATTATTTGATTATGGGCCTTTAGTATTAAACTTGCCAACACATAAAAGAAGTTATAGTTTGAACAAAAGTACCTCATACACTTCAATATTAAGTTCAAGGTATGACTCTGAAATTCTCATCAACAAAATTTGAGTTAGGTACCTTTAATTAAGAAGTAAATCAAACATTGGATTTGATCTAAGCTGATACATTAAATTGTATATGAATACCTATTTCAGAAAACCTATATATTTGGTAACTTTACATTGAAGTTTCTAGAAAATCGGTCATTACGAAGACTTTTTTGTTGCCAACAGTACTGCTTCAAACTTACGAAACAGAAATAAAACATTACAGACACAATTAAGATGAGTGAAAAAGTATGTGCAATATCAAAAAATTATTAGTTTTTGGACGCATACTGTATATATGTGTACATGGTCTAAAATATAAACTATCATCAGTAATATAAGAATATTTAGTTACCTAATTTAAATAAAGTAACTAGATAATTTATATTTTAAAGGAAGTCATTAGAAAAGTAAATTAAATTCCTATACATTTTTTTAATATCCTGAAATACTACTTACGCTAAATATGTAAATATATATTGGTTTGTTTTATTCTTATTAGGAATATTTTGTCATGTTTAAATTAAATGCTTTATGTATTTCTTCAGTTCTACCATTGTATAGCTTTTCTACAGGTATAGATATTTTATAGAATTCCAAATCCTTGCTGTAATTCTAAATATTTTAGAAGCAATAAAATATTTATTATGTTTTTTGACATGACAATAATGTCATATTTTTTTTTTCAGTTCAATAAAAACGTACCTATCTTTTAAAACATTATTTTGTACTTTTTTTAATCTATTTGCAGTCACTAATTTCACATTTAAAATAACCCAATGCAATCCGTTTACGTACGCTACTGCTGAAGATTCTAATATGAGCGAGAAAGCCTGCATTAGAAAAAAAAAATGATTTTATTAGAGCGACATCAACATTGTATAGATTTATACAGGGGTAGCCTATCTGCCAATATATTATCTAAGGTATAAAACGTAGTAAATTGCAGTATATCATGAAACGTTGTACGATACACGCTCGTTACCCGATCTCTACGTGCTCGCACATTAACGACCATGCTCGCATGTAAAAATCTAGGTAACGAGCTTATAACGTAAACTACTATTTATTTATTTTGTTTAATATAGGCATGCCAAATTTCCAAAGGGCCAAGAAAATAGCAGAAGGCCATGTGTTGTGCTTTACTTAAACCAGTTAGCTTTAGAAGTTTGTAGAAAAAAAAAAGGTAAAATAAAAGTAAATTTGATATATTTTTCACATTTTAAAAAGCATATATACAATAAAAAAGTTAACACATAAAATATAAAAGTTTAAAAAATAAAATAAATAGGTAAAACTGCTTTAATATTTATGTAGAGCTTAGGAAAATTATGAATACTTTTTTAGATTATGGCATAAAAACACATTTTAATAATTATTAGCAGAAACATTTTTACATCAATCTTAATTTTCCGTCACTCTGATATCTTATGTTTAATATGGTTAATAATATATACTTTAATAGTTTTTATATTCAAGGTGTATTTTCTTTGTTGGCAGACCTATTCTTAGTCTTATTCGATAATTTTGGAGAAATTGGCTGTGTAAGTTTCATAGACGGCTTAATCACCATTTCTTTATATTTTTTTATTTCTTGCGCTTTGAATTCGGCGTTTTTTCGAGCTCTTTGAATCTCGTCAGCCTCTTTTCGTCTCCTTTTCAACTCTTCTTCTTCCCGCAGCCTCAACAATTGTTTTTCCTTGAACTTAATCATCTGGTCAAAGTGTTCCCTTTCTCTAAATCTAACGTCGGTGTTCAAAACGAAATGCTCTATTTCGAGCAGAGGTCTATCTTCTCGTTTCGGTTCAAATGGCTTCTTGTAGAGTACAGTCGGAGGCTTGGCTTTGAAGATTGTTGTGTTTACTGTATCATCAGCTTTCTAAAAGAGAAGTAGAAATAAAAGATAAAATATAATTATTCCTAAAATCAACTCTAAGAAGGTTTAAGCAATCTACATACATTTTTTGTGGCCATTGAGAAAGCTCTCGTGGGCTGCAAAATAGACTTAGGTATTGGTTTGGCGTGAAATTCCCTAGCCTTCTTCTCAGCTTCCAAAACTTTTTGAATTAGTTGGTCCTTTTTCGACATTATGTGTTTGTCTCTGGTCTCGAAACTAAATGGAACAGGCCTAGTTGATTTCAACTTATTTTGTTGTGGTTGTAACGTCTCGTTCTTGTTTTGTGGAGTTCTCTTGGGTGAATGAGATCTGTGTCTCATGAATGACGGTGTATGAGGTTTAGTAACGTGGATTCGAAGAGGTGCTTTATTTGTGGGTATTTGAGGCTCTAATAGATATTTCGGTACAGGTTTGGCATGGAATTCTGGTACTTTTTTAACTGGAGAAGGGCCGATCTGCAATTATAGTTTTTTTGAATTCTCAAAATAATATTCTACTGTCTAAACAGGTTTTTAACGGAATTCTACTCACTTTTTTAGGTGGAGCTGTTAATTTAAAAGGCTCTGGTATGGTTGATTTTTTTACTTTTGCATTATACACTACAGGAGTTTTGAAAATATTCTTATTCATAGGATTGGCTTTAAACTGAGACCTAGAAAGAATAAAAAAATATATAGTCTTAGAAATTATCTATTATACAGAGTAGATCGGTTATAACAAATGGGACAAAGAATATCCAAATGATATATCAATACGGAGAATTTCCCACCCAGTTACATAAAATAAAAATAAAAATGAGAATTAACAAAATGTACTTACTTTTTAGCTTCTTCAAATTCAAGTTGTTCTTTTTGATTTTGAGATAGTACATAATCAGGTACAGGTCGTCCTCTAATTGATGTTATTAATTTTGGAGAATGTGGTATTGTCAGTTGTGACGGTTCGCCTAACAAATTGGGTCTAGAACGAAACCTTTTTGGTGTACCATGCTGAAACCTATTAACAGCTTCCGCCATGGGTACATATTCATTTCTGCTTAAATTTTGTTCAGAGCCGTAATTTCTCTTGGGTTGGGCTAGTCTTGTAAGGTTCTCCTAAAAGAGTATAATAATATAAAATAATATTTTCTGCAATTAAAAAAAAAACTTACTATTCTACTTTAAAACCAGCGATAGGTGTGATATACAGAATTACAGGGTTATCAGTATGTGTTTGAAAAACGTTTGATCAGTCCTATGTCTTTGTATTGCAGTAATATCATTAATAATCAACAACATAGATTTACTGCGGGTAGATCTACAGTTACCAATCTGATAGTTTATCAATAAAACATCTCTAAATTTGACACAATATTCTAATTTTAGTAAAGCCTTTGATCATGTTAATTACACTTGATTGTTATTTAAATTCAAAAAGCTTGGGTTGAAAGCTATTTAAAAAACAGTATTCAAATGGTGAAGATAGGAGGTAGTCTGTCTATCTAATATGACGTGCCCTCATAGGTTCCACATGGTTCCCATTTGTGTTCATTATTGTCCTTACTATATATCAATGAGGTTGATATAGAAATTTTTTCTCAGTATAATTTTACTAAATTCAGTAAGCTTTTTTGGTATAATAATATACACCTATCAGCAAAACAATCAGTGGCCACGACATGGATAAGTTGGATAAGTTCATCCCCTCTAAATTTTACATTTTTTTTTGTTTTCTAAATAAATCATGTAATGTTGTTTTATTAATTTTTATTTATTTTCATTAATTTTTATTTATTTTTACGATAGTTCCTATTACCTTCTCCCTCATTAAAATGTAAAAATCCAAAACCCTTGAAATATTTACTTCTGATGACCACCTACAATTCCAATTTTCATATTCCTACCTTTAAAAAATCGAAAGTCTTATACAAACTTTCTCCTCCCATTACCCCCTTAATAGTAAACATCCATATACCCTGAAACATCTATTTATTTATGATAAGTAGCAACAATTCCAATTTTCAAGTTCCTACCTTTTAAAAAATCGATACCTCCATACAAACTTTTACCTCCCCTTTCCTCCCTTTTCTTTGGTGACCAATATGCTCTTTATGAGGATATTTACTTGGATTTAGAGCAGATCATGCAAGGGTTTCGTAGTACCCCAGTTTATTTTTAACTTTTTCTAAAAGAAAAAATATGAACGTGTAGGCAAAAGAAATCTGTGCTCCCTCCTCTGGAGACACTTTTTCAAAATTTAATTGTTTTTTTTCTAAAAAAATACAAAACTCGACTTTTTTTTGACATTTTCTCAATTTTTGTTTTTACACGTATATATTTTTTTCTTTTAAATAAATAAAGTTTAAAAGTGGGATACTACGAAACCCTTACATTGCGAGATTTTTCGTCTGAAAAGTGTCGCCTCTGTTAGATTTTTAACAAATTAAATTTTGTGAATGAAAATAATTTATAATTTATAATAATGTTTTACGAGGGATAAATAAATGTTAGATATTTTTACATCTTATTTTTTATGGTAAATCATTTTTCTGTAATAATAAGATTGGCATATATATTATATGCAAGGGTTTCATAGTACACAATTTTACGGATTATTTTTTATTTTTACCACAAGAAAAATTATGTAAGTAGAGGTAAAGGCTGAATGCGTACCCCTCTGGAGTCACTTTTTGAAAATTTGAATCAGTTTTATTTGAAAAAATCTAAAAATATCTTTCTAACGAAAAGAAATAAAAATGTTAAAAAGTGCTAGAAGAGAACAATATATTTAATTTTATTTCATTTATATTTCTTACAATAAAATTGGAATAAAATGTACTATTTATAAGTGATTTTAATTTATTTTGTTTTGTTTGTACACTTTGTTATTTTTTACATACAGTAATTTCGCTCAATTATTTTAAATTTATTTATTCAAAAAATATAAAAGAAATTAAATGGAATACAGTGAGATATGATTTATAAATGTTTTTTTGTATCGCACGGGAGTTTTTTTTTACTTTGAGTTAACAATAATAATCAGTTCCAGCAACTTCAATCTGTTAAAGTAATGTATATTTTTTCGATCTAAAAAGTTTGCCAATAAGATGAGAAAAAGGCGATTGAGACATGATATCAAGCTGATTGTGCACAATGAAAGACGAAAACAAGTCACTCCTTCAAAATTTTGCGAAATTTGTTAAAAAAAAAAAAAAAAAAGGAATTCTTTCAAAAATCTCATAAAATCTGTTGCTAATCACTTGTCATTTTTTGCTAAAGCCACCCAATATGGCATGGACAATGAAGCCAGTGTAAAATAAGATTTGGAAATTTATTTGCAAGAAAAAAATTTTAAATGTGGACTTTTATTGATTCCGAATTTGATTATCTTGCTGTCAGTTCGGATGGAATTTTAAAAAATGTTTAAATAAAGACGTTTTATTATTAGCTAGAGTGCCGACTGTAGAAGAAGGAATATGCAGTAGAAAAATGACTCATTGGAAATAGGACAATACCAAGAAAACCACACTTATTGGTATTTTCAAATTTAGGGCTAGCTGGACATAACACGAATGGATTTTTGCATTTTGTGCGTTTGGACTCCTCGAGGAATAAAAGTTGAAGAAAATTAATTCATTCATTTAACCAACTCACACATGGCTACCCCAAGTTTGAATATAAATCTGATTATAAAAAACAGGTATAGAAAATATTTTTTAAAAACCTAGTTAATTTAAAAATGTAAAATGTCACGAGACCGTTTATGGTCCGTTTATATTGGCCTCCTGTATTTAATTTGTATTGTCACATCAGTCGTACAGGAGCGACTGAATTGCTAAACTATCTGGACGCTTTTCAACTCTTGGACAATGAATTATTGTAAAATACATATTAGGTATTTTGTGCTATTGTATTTTTCGATTCTTCTATCTCAACTTCGCGAGTTAGAGTTTATAATACCTATGTATCCCTCGTATCTACATGCGATTTTTAAAATTATGAATGAATGCTGATTTTGTTTAATCTCGGAAGTAATTTTGTAGTATTTAGGCTCCACCCTTAAGATGTAATTTTTATACCTACTAAACTACCGTTGCCCCGCAGGCCTTTCAGTATGTAATGTAAATTTTCCTCTTAAGAAAGTAATATTTTGACAAACTAACTTTTTAAAAATTTAACCAGTGGCGCGATATTAGGGTTAGTGGCAACTTTTTTCTCACTATCTTTTACGCCACTGGAACAAATTTTTTTATTTTTTAAATTCTCTTCATTTTTAGTTAAAAAAGTAATAACCTTTAAAGAGCTAAAATAAAAGGTGTACTTAGTAAAAATTTGCCTCTAAGCAAAAAACTGCACGTACTTACATTACAACTGAAAGACCTGCGGGGTAACGGTAGTTTAGTAGGTATAAAAATTACAACTTAAATACTACATACAAAATTACTTCCGAGACTAAACAAAATCAGTATTCATTCATAATTTTAACAATTGCATGTAGATAAGAGGGATACATATTCTAAACTCTAACGCTCGAAGTTGAGACAAAGGAACTGAAAAAAATTCCACAATAGCACAAAATAATATGTATTTTACAATAATTGATTGTCTGACGAGTAGAAAAGCCTCTATAGTTTAGCAATACATTCATTCCTGTACCACCATGTCCTCGATTCAAAAAGTCAAAGTAATAAATACAGGATGCCAATGTAAACGGACAATAAATGGTCTCTTAGCATTTTACATTTTTAAAAAATAGTTTCTATACTCTTTTTTATATTCAAGCAGATTTATAATATCCAAACTTAAAGTAGCCATGAGTGAGTTAGTTAAATGAAAAGGTACTTTGGTTTTATAATATGTAACGATCAGATATAATGTTTTAGCATATTATTATTTATATTTAAACAAAAATTATTTTTGTTGTTTGAATAATCTATTATAATGAACCACCTAGGTACAGCTTCTGAAACAAATTCATAAAAACCCGTATTGTTACACTGGCTATCAGCAACAGAGTTGTAAGTTGCAATTTTTTTTATCCATTTGAGCAAAAACTACAAATGAATTAAAAAAAAAGTGATAGGTAATAAGTTTTTTTTTATCTCACAATGTCAGGTATAAGAAGTTATATAGAAAAAGTTAGTATTCAATATCATCTAGACCAAAAACAAAAACATGTTTAAATGAATATATTAAATAAAATATGACCATTCTTTAACAGGCATATATTTATTTGTATTATTAAAATAATGTTTGTCAACAAACTTATGTTCGGTATGTGTAACAATTTGTAAAGATAACTTTTGTATAATATGATAATATTGTCTTCTATATGCAGATGACTTGAAATTTTTCAGCACAGTCACACAAAACACTACTGCCCTTCAAGGTGATCTAGAGAGACTAAACGAGTGGTGCAAGGTGAACCATCTCTCACTAAATACCAGTAAATGCAAAGCCATCCAGTTCACTAGAGTGTTAACCCCTTCTCTAAATCAATACAAAATCGGTAATACTGTAATGCAAAATGTCACATCTGTGAATGATCTAGGGGTCATATTTGATATGGAACTGTTCTTTCGAGAACATATTGATTCCATTATCTGTAAAGCTTTCCGGATGCTAGGCTTTATTAAAAGAAATACTCAACATATGTATGATACTAAAGCAATCTTAACATTATTTAACAGCCTTGTTAGAAGCATTCTTGAATATTGTTATGGCATCCTAATTACACCTGCCACATAGAGAGGATAGAACGAGTTCAGCGTAAATTCACTAACTATTTGCTGTTTAAACACCACTTTCCCTACCAAAACGTTGGTTACGAAAGTATACTACTGTTATGTGGTATGCAAAGCCTAGAAATCAGAAGAAGACATGCACTAGTTCTGTTTCTGTTTAAATTAATTAACGGTAAGATTGACTGTAGCGCCCTTTTACACTTAATTAGCTTTTTGGCACCTACGACGTACTTCATTGTTTTTCATCAGAATACATAGAACCAACTATGGACAAAGAGCATTTATTGACCGTATGTGCCACATTTACAATAAGCTTTACTCCGACTGTGACCTATTTAACACAACGTTGGATGCGCTAAAGAGTAATTTGAAACTATCAAAATAATTTTTTTTTTCTTGTTTTTTTTTGAGCTTTAATATTTACACCTCTTACTATGTATGTGATTTTTTGAATGTGATATTTTTGTGTAGGTATTCTACACACATGTATTAATTGTTATTTTTTTTACTCTGTGTACCATTTAGAATAATAATTCTGTAGTGTACCTATTTGAATAAATAAATAAATATTTAAAGATTTTAAAAAGGGCTTGAAGATATCACATTTCGAAATTCCTTTTATTGACCATAATACTTTTTCTTTGGAATCAAAGCATTAGTTCCTGGTACTTAAGCGCAGTAAAGTTGCAAAAACATAAACAATATAATGAACTTTTAAAATGAAATTCAATTTATATTTAGAATTAAATAAGTTAGCTAAAATTTTTGACCATATGAAGTTATTAAAGTTATAAATAATTACGTTACAAAGATTCATATGTGAATTTTAAATTTCTATTGATGTGATCGTTATTCATTTACTTTTTACAATATCAGTACATGGCTTGACTTTGGCACAAAAGCCTTTGTAGTAAAACTACTAATCAGAATCTTGATATTATTATTTGTGAACTTAAAAACGTGATCCACTAGTTAAAATATTTTATATAATAATTAGGTATATATCATCAATTGCCACTGCCACTGTTAAAATATAAAATTTAAAAAACGTATTATAATAATAAGACATTAATATTTTAAATGGATCTCTTACTACCATGTTTTAGAAATAAATAAAGTGTAACTCTTAAATTAATAAACATATTCCAAATAATTTAAGATTCCTTGAGTCATGTTAATAAAAATTAGACAAAATTTTTCACCATTTATTTGGTATTCTGTCCCGTACTTCCATGTCTCTAATAGCTCTGCTGTCAACTAGTTCTGGTAAGGCATATTGCATATAAAAATTTAGAATTTTATTTTGCATCTATTCTTCCCAAAAGCCGTCATGAGGGCTTTTCTCCACTTTTATACCTCGACGAGTCCAAACGCAGAAAATGCATGTCCGTCCATGCCATATTGGGTGGCTTTAGCAAAAAATAAAAAGTTTTTATGAGATTTTTAAAGAATACGTTTCGTTTTTTACAAATGTCTCCAAATTTTAAAGATTTTGTCTTTCATTGTGCCACAATGCACAATCAAATTGATCTCGTATCACATTCATTTTTTTCTCATCTATAGACATTGGCAAACTTTTTAGAAAATCTTCTTTTACAACGCGTATCAAAAAGTGGGACAGATCAAAGCCACGCGCGAAAGCGAGAAAAATGATTTACTTGGTTCGAAAAAATATACATTACTTTAACAGATTAAAGAGTTTTAAACATGCTGGAATTAATTATTCTTAACTCGAAGATATGTATTCATTAAAAAAAAACTTTCGTACAATATAAAATTTATAATTCACATCTCACTGCATACCTTTTAATTTCGAATATGATTTTTTAATAAATAAATTATACAATTATTTTAAAATAATTGAGCAAAATTACTGTATGTAAAAAATAAAGGGTACCGTAGAATGGGGTGAATAGGATCGCTGAGGTGAATAGAATCAAAAGCAGGGGTGAATAGGATCAAGAGGTACCTACGTCATAATGCCTAGGGATTATAAACCTACGGTGACAAAGCACAGAGTACATCCAAGACCTTTACTAGACATTATATAGCCCAAGGTGAGAAATTAATTACACTTTTCCGGATGTGAAAGACGAATATGAGTTTACTTTTCAACATATTGTTGGTAAATTAAATCCTCCAGTAACATATGGAAGAGTTCTTCTCAGATTTGAAATTCGTGTGAGTGAATACAACAACAAACAATAATTAAAATAGCTTTTACTGTCACATATGTACTTATTAAAATAAAAGTTACAAACAAAAACTACTTTTAAATACTATTTATGAAATCTACCTTTCCGACTGGCCGCGCTATCGGGTTTTTAATTTCTAGGCGGACTCACACTTAAAAGTTAAGTGATCCTATACACACCACAGAAGGGAGTATGCGTTTAAACATTAAAAAAGCTTGGTCGATCCTATTCACCACAATGGCAGCAAACAAAAAAATATATATGCGGGTAACGAATCTCTGAAAAAAAAATTTTGAATCAAAAATGAATAGAGCAGATATAAACTCATATTTTGATATATACAGGATATATCTCACTATATCACTCTGAGAGATACGCTATTTTAAAATTTAAAATTGATTCTATTCACCCCATTCTACGGTACAGACAAAACAAAATTAATTCAAATCACTTGCGTACTATTTATCATTTGTAAATAGTAGAAAAGGATATACAATTTGTTGGTGCCACCCTCTTGAGGAAAAAGCTTTTAACATGTTTTTTTATTGTAAGAAAAATAAATGCTCCTGTAGGTAAAAATTAAATATATTATTCCCTTCTAGCATTTTTATTTGTATTTCTTTTCGTTAGACACACATCTTTTTAGATTTTTTTCAAAATAAACCCATTCAAATTTTCAAAAAGTGACTCCAGATGGGTTGAGCCTTTACCTATACTTACATAATTTTTCTTGTAGTAAAAATAAAAAATAATCCGTAAAATTGGTGTACTATGAAACCCTTGCATATTATATATGTCGATCTTAGTATTACAGTAAAATATATTATAAATTTTTCATTTACAAATATTAATTTCTTAAAAATCTAACAGAGGCGCCACTTTCCAGACGAAAAATATTGCAATGTAAGGGTTTCGTAGTATCCCACTTTTAAAGTTTATTTCTGACTATTTTTAAAAGAAGAAAATATATACGTGTGGGTAAAGGTTAAATCTATGCTCCTCTGGAACCACTTTTTCAAAATTCGATTTAGTTTTTTCTAAAAAAAAATTGAAAAAATCGGTAAAAAAAGTCGAGTTTTGTACTTTTGTTTTGAAAAAATGTCTCCAGAGGACATAAATTTAACCTTTACCTACACGAATATATATTTTTTCTTTTAAAATAAGTCAAAAATAAACTTTAAAGGTGGGGTACTACGAAACCCTTGCATGCTCTGCTCTAAAGCCAAGTAAATACTCCTCTTAAATCATTTGCAACGACTCAATATTTGTAAATTTTAATCTAGTAAATTTTTACTACCAAATTTGAAAAAATATTTAAATACGTTTTAGATTTATGGCAAATTTTGAATTTGATTTAAAATATAACTCGTATCTCGGTAATTAACCCCTTTAAGGGTTAAAATCTAATATAATATCACAAATAAAAGACAGGTAAAATTTTAAGATACATTGTTAATTAGTGTTCAGATAAATTTCTAAATTATTTATAATTCAAAACGTTCCTTTTCTCGAGTGAATTTTACCTATATAACTGTAAATATTCTGGTAGTATGATTATGACATAACCTTGTATAGATTTAAAAAGAAGTTTAATAAAATAGTTACGTTTTTATAAATGCCTTATTATGAGAGGATAGAAATACTATATTAAATTGTTTGAGCCACTTGTACTGTAGTTTTCATACATTTAAGATTTTTATAGAACATAATTTTATTTAAGTGACACTACAACAAATAATTAATGACAGGTCACAATAGAATATAACACGGATAAAACTTAATGTAACTTAATATTAATATTATATGCTATTAGCAAAAAGAGTACCTATTCGCTCCGTGCGTGACAGCAGCGCCAATTCATTTATGTACTAATGGACTATTTATTGCGTATACTGACAATACAATTTTTAACAAAATTCGTAATTAAAAAGTATATGTTAGTTTTATAAAAGTATATGGATTTGTAAAACAAGTGAAACATTAATTTATTATTATATATTTTTATCGCTAAAACTAAGTATAATCAATAAATATCAATAACAAAATATAGACAGGCAACAGTATTTACGCAAAAATGTATGAGAAATTGCCTAAGTCTAATAAGTTGTCTTTAAAGAATTAACATATTCTGTCAAAATTAAACAAATACCATTAAATAATAGCGTGAAGTTAAAATGTATAAACAGAAGGATTGTTATTTATATTTTCATTTTTGTTTGAAAGAAAACATAGAATGAATGATTAAAACTGATTTCCTATCAGTAAGTCACTAAATTTCATTCCAGCCACATGCAATATTCAAAGGCAGAATTCTAGTTCTTGTCCAATATTTAAGATTAAAGGATGTTGAAGAACATCGTAAAATTATAATTTATTGTTTATTTAAAACCTTTCAAGTTTCTGATGTCTACTGCTATTTCCAGTATTACTGTTATTATTACAAAAATAAAGGTAATTTTTCTTCTTATTGTACATTATTTCTTTGATTTAATTTCCACTTTGCTACTGAAATTTTTTATAATTTACACTGTTTTTTTGCTAGTATTTTTACAATTTACAACACAGCAACTCCGGTTGCTTATTGTATTGTTTTTTCCTATTCTTTAAAAAAAAAAGTAAAATGTGTATGTGTAGTTGATATGCCAAAATTAAAAATATCGCCTTAAAATGCACGAATTATCCGCAGCTAGCGCTAGTATCGCTTTTGCTTTCCCTACCATGACTTCGCACTGAAGGAATAAGTAATTACCTTAGACAATGCTCTGGTATAATGGGATTGTACTAGCAGCAGGTGAGTTGTCCTCAAATTCATTACTTTTTCTTCTAGTAGTATTTTTCTTATATTGTGATGTACTAGCAGCTGATTTGTCCCTCAAATACATCACTTTTTCTATAAACTCTCCCACTTCTAAAAAATAAAATTTAATTATCAACAATGTGTACAAATTATTGTTAAAGCATTTAATTGTATTTTTACCTTAATTTACAAAAGTTCTCTAATTTATCCAGATCCAGATTTCCAACACTCAGTGATCTTCTAATATTATTTGGCATGTCCACTTCCTCCTCTAAAAAATATAATTATATATTAATTATAAGTTGTCAAAATAACAAAAATCAACCAGAAACAAAAATTAAAGCTACTTACCAGCTATCAGTGTTTT